GATTGGCTGAATATTCTCAGCCTAAGAGATGACCAAGCCCTCTCCCCCAGGCCAAGGTAAAGCAGCAGGTATAGATTTAGGCATTTCTGGTGGAAGGTGTGAAAAGGTCTTTCGGGATCCTGTTTAAACACTCAGTTGTCGGTCTTGGTCGGTGGTTCTTAAAGGTTTTTATTACCACTTACAAAAGGTTGGGCTTGTTGGTCGTTACCCTCGCTCAGGTAGCACCAGATGTTGGCACTTATGATATTTATTTATTTATACCTTTAAACTAATTATTCCACCGGCGGTCTTTACAATTCATTCATTCATGTATGGCACAACATCCCGTCACCGAGACTGGGCCTCCTCCAAGAGCCTCCGCCAGTTGGCTCTGTCTTCTGCTGCAGCTCTCCAGTTCCGCACACCAAGCAGGGTTCTCGCATCATAGGCCACGTTGTCCAACCATCTCGTCCTCGGCCTTCCTACCCGTCTTACGAGGTGCAGCTCCTCCATCATTATTTTTTTTGGTATTTCAAGGGTGCTCATTCTGGCCACATGCCCTGCCCACCTTAGTCTGGCCAGTTTAATATACGTGACTACGTCGATGTCTGCATAGAGAGAACTGAGCTCCCTATTTTTTCTTTTCCTCCAGACATCACCCTCCTTTACTGGACCATAAATCCTTCTGAGGACTCCTCGCTCAAAGACACTCAGCTTCATCTCATCCCTTTTGGTCATCGTCCAAGCCTCTGAGCCATATGTCAAAACAGGCCGAACAAGGGGCTTGTATATGATCAGCTTGGTCTTCTTTGAGAGGTACCTACTTCTTAAGTGGCGGCCAAGTCCAAAGACACATCTATTGGCAGCCGTGATCCTTCTTTGTATTTCTTGAGCCATGTCATTCTTGCTATTGATTTCAGACCCAAGGTATATAAAACTTTTCACTCTCTCAAACTTAAAAGAACCTACCTCAAATGGAGAGTTCAGATCAACCTCACCGCCAACTCTCATATACTTAGTTTTCCTCTCGTTGACTTCTAGACCAAGTGGTCTTGCAGCTGCTTCAAGGCTTATAAACGCTTCTCTGAGAGCCCGTTCAGACCTACCTACTATGTCAATATCATCAGCAAAACCAAGAAGCTGTGTCAGGCGATTGAAGATTATATCTTTGGTCTGAATACCGGAGTCTCTTACAGCTTTCTCCTCTGCCAAATTGAACAATAGACAGGCGAGGGCATCCCCTTGCCTAACCCCACTGCTCACTTTAAACTCTTCGGAGTCGTCAGAACCGACGCGTATTCTGCATCTCGAGCTGTCCATGGTCATCTTGATTAGGCGTACGAGCTTCTGAGGGATGCTTAGCTCCTCCAAGGCACAGTATAGTTGCGTTCTATCAACGCTGTCGTATGCTGCTTTAAAGTCCAGGAATAAATGGTGGGTGACTACCTTACGCTCCATAGTCTTTTCTAGGATCATCCTCAGAGAGAACAGTTGATCAGTCGTTGAGCGTCCTCTTCGAAATCCAGCCTGATATTTCCCCAGTTCCTTTTCAGAATACGGGAGGATCCTCTCAAAAAGAATGTTAGAGAGCAGCTTATAAGCACACGAAAGGAGTGAGATTCCTCGATAGTTAGCGCATTTTGTTTGATCTCCTTTCTTATGTATTGGGCAGATAATGGCTGTTGCCCATTCCGTAGGCATAGCTTCCTTCTCCCAGATGGTCAGCATTAAATCATGCAGAGCTTTCTTGAGTTCTTCACCTCCACATTTCAACAGCTCTGACTGAATTCCGTCCGGGCCTGGCGCCTTTCCATTTTTCAATTTCCTCAGGGCGTTTTCCATTTCCTCCTCATCCGGGGGTTCAATAGAATTCAGGGAGTCTTCCTTCATTACACCTACTTCTCCAGGCACCGTTCCTCTGTTTAATGCGCCTTTGAAATGTTGTACCCATCTCCTTAGTACGTCATCTTTGTGGCTTAAAAGAGTTCCATTTGTGTCTTTGCATGCCGTCACTCTGGGCCTAAAAGCTGCCCTACCCTCGATTATTCTCTGAAAGAACAGGCGACTTTCATTTTGGCCTCGCAATGCCTCTGTGTCCTCCATGTTCTTATTTTCCCAAGCTCTTCTCTTTCCGCGGAATAATCTCTTCTCTTCGCGTCTTTTTCTTCTATATGTTTCTTGGGAGAGCCTTGTGGGACGCTGAACCTTCTTTCTGTAGGCTTCATTTTTCACTTTTACTGCTTGAAGGCACTCAGCATCAAACCATGGGGGCCTTCTAGATTTAGTCTCGTAGCCAAGAGCTTCTTCTGCTGCCTGTTTCATTGCGTTGCTGCATCTCTTCCACTGTTCATCGACCATAGAGCTGTCATTAATTACTTCTTCATTAAGTTTCGTCTCCACAGCTTGTTGATACGAATATTGGTGGTCTGAGTCCTTAAGTTTAACCACATCAATCTTCTTCTCTGGTCGTTGGTTGTGGTTTTTAATCAGCGAAATTCGTGATCTGACCTCGGCAATGCTCAAATAGTGATCCGTGTCCATATTTGCACCTCTATAAGATCTTGCATTTATCATGTTGGACTTGTGACGGGCACTAATGAGTACATGGTCTATCTGTGATGCTGTTTGCCCATTTGGAGAGATCCATGTTGCTTTGTGGATATTCTTTCGAGGAAAAAGAGTTGTTCCAACAACCAGTCCGTGCAATGTAGCAAAGTTCACCATCCGTAGCCCATTATCATTACTGGTCTCATGCAAGCTGTGGGTTCCTATGGTCGGCATGAGTGCCACCTCCTTACCAACTTGTGCGTTAAAGTCACCAAGAATGATTTTAACATCATTTTTGGGGCAGCTTTCTGTCACGCGTCCAAGTTCTTCATAAAATGCTTCCTTATCCTCCTCAGGTGACACCTCTGTTGGGGCATGGCAGTTGATTAGAGAGAAATTAAAAAATTTTCCTCTAAGCCGAATGTAGCATAACCTTTGGTTAATGGGAGTAAATCGCATCACCAACTGTCGAGCTCTGCCTCTCACAACAAATCCGGTACCGAAGATGTGATGCTTTTCATGGCAGCTATAGTAGAGTGTATGGTACTTCTTCTCCATAATTCCCTGTCCTATCCATCGGACCTCTTGGATAGCTGCTATGTCGATTCTGTATGTGTCCACTTCTGCAAGGAGCGCACGAAGTGCTCCTAGTCTATGTAATGATAAAATGTTCCAAAATCCAATTCTTAGGTCATTTAGGCGTTTCCTGGGTCTGTTACCGTGATTCAGTCCGGCTTCTTCTCTTTGAGGTTTCGTAATAAGGTACTTTAGGGGGGGTGGGTTATCAGCCCACTGCCCCCGAGTCAGGTAGAGGGGCTGCCTCCTCCGAGCATCCTGACTAGCTCCCCCATCCGGGGCGGCTACCTAGGGAAGGTGACCCTAGGGTGTGTACTGTAGGTGACCTTTGTCTGTAGTGTTTAGGTGTTGTAGTGTGCTGTCTAAAGTGTACTTGGTGTGTGAGTGTTCGTGTAAGTGTTCCCCCAACCTGGAGGGCCAGTGGCTGGTTGCGGTACAATGACCGGGCGATGGGACCGCCACCTCCCTACGCCTACGGTCTTTACAATACATAGCATTTTATATATCGATTAAAATATCTCACAAACTAAAAATCGGTCATGCATACAGTAAGCGAGGAAATCGTTCAACATTTCATCCTCTCTGTTAGGGTGGAAAAAAAGAAAAATAGTGTCGAAAACCAAACTAGTTTAGTTGAACATATGGATTAAAATATTTTTATTCTATTCTATTCAGTCGGCACGACAACTCGATATCGAGTCTTGACCTCCTGTACCAGCCTCTACCAATTGTTCCAATCCTGTGCAGCAGCCATCCAGCTCCTCGATTTCCTGGATGGAAGTAATGTCTTAACGATATCTAACAATCTGTTCTAAGAGCAATTTTAGTGCTCCGAGATCTGTAGAGTGTAAGGACGTTCCAGTATGCTACGTTAAAGTTACGCTGGGGTGGCCGGGTTGTTTCTGTTTTTGACTATTAAGTTCGGGGCTGTTCTACGTTTCATGATTGATTTAATTTCAGGTAGTTGGACCATCAACTCAAACTACATACCCTGGCCTGCTGTTGGGGTGGCGACCTCTGTGCCAGCGTGCTGATACCCCCTCCGGAGCGGCTTCCTAGGGAAGGTGACCCTTATGTGTATTGTAGTGTACAGTGTAATTTGTTTGTATATTGTTTGTGTGATAGTATAAGAGTTAAAATATTTCAGATACATAAAATCGGACATGTTTCGTGTAAGCATGGTAAATGTTCAGCATTTCATCTTCTTTATAATGATCTATTATTTAAAATTGTATTTTAACCCAACACGATATTAGAGAGTAGCAGAGGGAAGAAGATGGTGTTCAAAATTGAACTAGTTTTATTGACGACATGGATTAAAATATCTCAGAAACTACAAATCGGACCTCCATACTCTAGGAAATCGTTCAGCATTTCATAATTTATATCATTTAAAATTATATCTTATTATATCTTATCTTATATCTTATTATTATATAAAAAATAGTGTCGAAAACCAACCGATAACTAGTTTTGTTGAAGATGTCTTCAATAATTATGGATTAAAATGTCTTAGGAATTAAAAATCGGACCTACATGCAGTAAGCGAGGGAAATGTTTAGCATTTTATCCTCTTTATAATGACCTATTATTTATAATAGCTAATTATAAATAATAGGTCATTATTATTTATAATTAGCTCTTTTTCATATTTTCGCTTTTATCGTGTGGTTTAAAGCACACTTTAGTTGTTTCTTCTTTATTTGTAACTTACTAATATTATTTAAACAAAAGAAAATTTTATTTTCCCATGTGCAACCAATACCTAGAATTTAGTCTGTTTCTCCCGATTCACCCTCTATAAGTAGCTTACAATATCTGTATTTCCAATTAAATATACAGGCAGAAATATTAATGCAGTTTGAAAAAATGTAGACGTACGAACACGTACAATAGCATTAAAAATGGTACTCACCTACTATAGTGCCCAGTGTGATTAGACACAGCACGATGCAGAGACAGACGATGGACGTCAGAGACGGTTGGTCTAGATACTCAAGCTCAGTCCTGTTGACCGTGAGGTTGTGCTTCAGAGGGTATATTGTATCAGAAGTAGTAGGCATCGTAGAGTTCCTCCAGTCGGACCACACTTCGGTCTTCCAGGTGCTCTCGGTAGTCAGGTTAAAGAAATCCTCTTGGTAAGTGGTGGCGGCGAAGTAATACACGGTCGTCAGTTGGCGTTCCTTCCATGGGGGCCAATGTCGCCAAGGTCGTCGCGCGTGCCGTTTGATCATCATCTCACTCACATTATATTTTCCAACTGCAAACAAAAAAATATGATTTAATTAGAATTATTTTATTTTCTGAATAAAAACGATAAAATGACATTAAGAATATATTTCCTATAGGCGAGCAATACTCCCTGACAGTGTTATTTAGTCATATAAAAAAATAACATTCTAAAGAAAAAATATGAACTACTGTTTGAACATTCTCATTAAACTGTGATTATAAGTCACACATGAATACTTTGACTTAATGAAATAGTATGATCGTATGATATGATAGTATGATATGATTACATTATGTCTATTTTCTATCTTTATGCTTATTTTAGTAATCAAGAGGTATTTTAAGATATGCAGAGATGGGGAAGCCTGGTTAAGGTGGCAAAAGATTTAATATTTCTGAAATGAAAAAAAATAGCTTAATTATATTTTTTATAAATTTTGTATCAAATCACACAACTCCATGTTGTTATAAGAAAATATGTAATTGTAATTCGTTCCCACGACTTTTTTTTCTTTTTGTTATTTTTAACATCATTATGTCTATGACAGTATATTATATTACATGACAGTATATTATATTACATGACATTATATTATATCTTTGTTAATTCAATTTATAATTTGGTTTCTGGAAGTGATCTCTAGCCTACTATAGAGGCATTCATTATTGTGTAGAAACTTCCTAATGAATTGCTGCTATATGCCCTAAACATCTTACCATCTTGCCTTCATGTCATCAGATTGATTGACCAGTTTTTTTTATTGTAAGCAGTTTTTTATTGGTCTCTTTCCTCCAAGCGTTATTACTCTGATCCCTGATCGCTCCGGTCATATCTTCTTTCTAGGGTGCTGGTCAGTGTCCAGATCTCGCAGCCGTGTATCAAAAATGGCTTAATCAGAACATTTTGCGAGCTTGATTTACGTTGGTCGCCAGCAGCTAATTGATAGAAGCCTTTTATTTTTTATTTATTCTATTTTTTACATCTCATTATTTCTTATATATATTTGTGTTTATCCGTAGTATTTTTTTTAGATATTTATGTTTTTGGTTGTATTTTTTTTTATATATTTGTAGTTTCCTATATATTATATAGGAATTAGTATCCTTATATATATATATATATATATATATATATATATATATATATATATATATATATATATTATATATATATATATATATATATATATATATTCAAAATTTCCTTAGTAGTTTTTGTTTATTGTATGATTAGTAATATATTTGTAAGATATCTACATACCAGACTAATGTACATATTTCTTTTTAACTCTACCATTATTCTAAGGGGATTTCAGTACCAGAATAAAATTATTTTTAATTTCATTCCATTTCATTAATTTAATATTTTTCGATAATCTTCGGGGTTTCAACATCTTTTAAAAAGAGAAGAAAGCTCTGTTAGTACTTGTTATTCGTTAGTCTATTTTCGATCATTTTCATTCATTTAGATTATTATCGAATCGAGTTATTTGAATTTCTGTATTCTCGGGAACGATTTCTCTTTTACACAGTTCATGATAATGGAATGGAATTTTCGGCTTATTACCATATATTTCGTTTTATCTTCATTTACTTGTAACCTGATATGCTCAGTTGTTCTTATCAGTGTCTTAGGAAAGTTTCTCAATGTCCTCCTGGTATCATCCAAGGGGAGCTATATCATCTGCTTATCCGAGGATTTTATGACTAATTCCGACATGCACCTCCCCCTTCCCCTCCATTTTCATCTATTGTTGTTTTTATCACCTTCATCAGCGCTAAGTTGAACAAGATCGTTGAAAGTCCATCTCTCTGCTGCAAACCAGTTTGAAATTTAAAGTATTCAAATAATCCTCCTTGTATTAGGACTCGCTATCTTCGGTCATTTTTATATATTTTATTAATCTGACCATGTTTTTTATTTTTCGGAAAATCCTAGTGAAGTCATAATTTTACAAAGGCAGTTTCTGCCCATGGAATCATAGGCGGCTTTGAAAGCGAGAAATAAGCACATCCCAATATATCTGAGCTCCCCGTCGTTTTTCGAGTACTTGTTTTAGGATGAAGATGTGATCTTTGATTGCTTTCGGTTTGGAGTGAATTCAAAACGGTTGATTAGTTTTTGTTTTTCAGCTAATAATAGGGAATCTGATACATTGATTTATTTTATAACTAGTAGGCCCGTGCGAAAAATTCGCACAGCATATTGTTATCAAATGCCAAATTAATAAGAAAAGAAAATAATGCAACGTATCAAAAGATAAAGAAATCAATCGTTACTTTATCCATAAATATAATCCAATCTAAATAAATCTTCATTTTTGTTTGGAACCAACATATTTACAAATTTCAATAAGCTGTATCTATGCGAAAAATTGTCCGATCTCGATTATTTTTTTTTCCTTTTGTACAAAATTAGTAACGTTTTATACAATCATGGGAATGACCAAGGGAAAAGTGTGTAATTTTTTAGTTATTCGCAAATAAAGTTTCTTTTTTTTCATAACTTGTTTGCATGAATTTTTGGGGTGATTGGAATATTTTTCCCGCCTGAAGGAGAAGGAAGCCTTCGAAATTGGTGGTCAATCTTGAGATTTGGTGGAAAATTAACGATGATATGGCTTACCGATCAAAAACATCATCGATAAATAATATAAACTTCTCCTGTCTCGATCATAGAGACCTCAAGTCGACGAAATGAGACATTTATCCAATGACAGTACTACAATTAACGTCAGGTTGTGTGGATGCGAACCCCATGCCTTGCGTTATCTCGAAAATGGTACGTTTTTGGGCTTAAAAACGCAGGATCCGATTGTTCCGGAGGATCCGCATCAAAATCTTCAAGGTACAATTTGTCCCGCATCGATCTACAGACCTACCACCGTTCCAGTATTGAAGCCTAGCAAAATGTTTGTATCGACTTTATTTATTTTAGAAAGAAAAACAAAAACGGAGAATACGATTCGCTAACCCCCCGTGAAATTCTGAATCCAACGGCACCCCATTCCTGGTATTTGAGCATGACAGGAGCTTATATTTGGTACAAAACCGATTTCGAGCCTTACTGTAATAATATATGTACGGATCAACTGTCTTTGTCTGTAGGTCTTTGTTTCGTAGGATTTTCACCTTTTTTTTATTTATTTTTTTGTTTGATCTATGATGAAAAGTTGAATTATTTGAATATATTGGTTGCTATTATTGTCGAGGGATCGAGAATAAAGTAGCTTCTTTGATAAATTGATGTAATTTGGATAAAGTGGAGTTTATTTCATTGAATCGTGCATGAATCTCCACGAGTGGGTCAGCTGTGAATTATATCAGTCGAATAATCTTTAAATCGAATAATAATATTATCATATAACATCATTATAATAATATAATATAATAATTATAATTATATTGAGGGTGGGGTGGCCGAATGGGCTAACGCGTGTGCACTGCACCGCCGTTGGCGGCAACCGGATATATGATTCTATGATATGAAAATAGTCATGAGTTCGCGTCCCGGTCCCAGAGGGGATTTTAAATTCCCCGCCCTCACTCTCTGGTCCGGGAAAATCCCGTATAGCCTAAAAAGGCGAGGTAGGGAAGAACAGGAAAAAAAATTATTATAATTATATTATTATATTATTATTATAAATAATAATATATAAATTATCTGAAACAGCTATATTGTTGTCCGTTAGTTGACCGGTTAGATTAAGTCTGTTAGCCGAGACTGAAGGATTTTTAACTGCAATCCAGGACCAGGTTACCAGATCCTACTGGCGACACGTCTTGAAGCAACAGATTGTATCGGACAAATGTAGGCTCTGTGCAAGCACATAAGAATCCATCCAGCAGGTAACTGGAGGCTGCGGAGCTTTTGGAGGTACAGAATATCTAAAAAGACATGACGATTTTGCCAAAGTCTATCATCACTTGATTGGTCTGAAAAGAAAATTATTAAACGATTTGGTGCCCTACTATAAATACAGCCCTAAAGGACTCTCCCAGAAAGATGGTATAAAATTATATTGGAATCGATCGTTAATAACAGACCATCTCGTGATTCACAACATACTTGATATTGTGTTAATTGGCGCTAATATTAAGGTATCTGAGATTATAGACATCGCTGTACCAAACGACGGAAACATTAACTTATTCTATGGGGAAAAAATCGGAAGTATGAAGGTCTAGTAGCTGAGTTCAAAAGTTTCTATAAACTTAATAAAGTAACCGATAGGGCATTGTGATTTCCAGCAATGGCCTGATACCGGTGTCTACTGTTGAAGCTACTTACAGGCTGGGCCTCCTAGCTCATGCAACAAATGAAGCTCAGAAAGATGTAATGTTGAATACTGCCAGAATTGTAAGTAGCTTTCTCAACATCCAAAAAAAATTAAAAAAGAACATAACTGAAGTGGTTGGAGTTGATTCTCCCCTCCCCCCTCAAGTAAACAAAAACCTGTTGTAAAAGTCTTGACAAGTAAATGATAATAATAATAATAAATCAGCAGTCGAAATAAGTCTAAATTCACAAACTTTAAGTGTTACTGTGATGGCACAGTTGATCTCGACTATTGTTTCGTCATAGCACACTTGATTGATAGGGATTAAATGACCAGAAAGCAGAAACCTGAACGAACTAAACATTTTATGTTCATATTTCATATATCAACATCATAATAAGCCGGAGGCAACCGTTGCCGGTTGATTTTGGAGGCCATGATATAATAGTGAGTAGTCCTGTCTACAGTTACGGAATATACTTAATCCGTAACAAATAATAATTTAACTTTTATTTTAGTAATTGAGTTTGTTAAATATACCAATTGGTGAATCATGTATTGTATTGACAATTCTCTCCCTAGATAGCCAGGTTAAGCTATCTCTGATAGCTCAGAAATAGTTATATAGAATGTACCGACTAGACACAAGACAAATTATCAAGACTTAGGGAACAATAACAGATTTTAGCAGAAGGTCTCTTTCTCACCTCATCTTAAGAATATTAATTATCGATAACGTCCATTGCCTTCCTCTTCCGACTTCC